TGTCAGTATAATTCGGCCGTTTTATGTTGACAATATTGTGGCCCACTCAAGTGAAACTGCAACATCTGTACAAAAAGAGTGGAATACTTGGGGTAAAATATGAGTGCTTTTGTATAAAATCCTCCCTGTGCTTAAGATATGCACACGTGCAAGTCACAGCAATCGTGATGGAGGAATTCAATTCCATCNCATCCCTTGGGTTTGTTTCTGACTTGCGATTAAATGACTAATAGTTTTTTCCTAATTTCTTTGACTTTGCTCATCTGTTTGTCCCACCTGTTGGGAAAAACTTTTAACAAAACTCCATCGAAATAGATTCCTAAATGTATGGATAGCGCGAGACGAGATAGAGTAACAATTTATCGTGCATAGCTGTGTGTATTATTTCTCCACGTGATAAAAGCTGCATTAGACACAAACACAACTCCATACCCAGATGTACATGCATGACCGAAAACCACTGGAATTTTTCCTATATTTCAACATCAACTGCCGAATGAGTTAAAACTTGAGCCCATCGTATGCATTCCTTGGGTAAGTATATAGACATCCTAATACACTACTAATGTTGCATACTTTTTATCGATAAATAACACGATCCAAACCGAAGCTGTTACAGTATCTCCACGCTGTTTCATCAATTTAGGCAAAGTGAAGTTACAGACGCCCGTATCTCTCTGGTTTAATTTGTGTTTTGCCTGTGGGTTCATGTACTGCCCACAATCGTAATGTCTTTAGGAGGGAATCTTTTGAACTAGGCTGCATTTTCGCTTCAATTGGACCTCATCGGCAGTGCACGTCTCTCATTCCATTCGGATTTTAAATTCCGATTTCAATTCCTCATCGGCGTATTTCCTCTATGTCAACAAGGCCAGATTGAAACTAGACAAAATTATCAACTCAAATTTGTGCAGAATCGTTCAATAGCGGTCAGTCAGTCTTCGGCTCAATGGTATCTCCCAGCTTCAATCAAAAGTCTTCCACCAAACCATGTATTCGATATGAATATACCTCCCCCAGTGGGAATTGTTGCATAAACGGTATGACCTCGGATAGTTTTGCATTGGTCATTCACCAGCCACTGAATGGTGTATATGGCTGTTTCATCAAGTAAACAGGTCATCGTTATTGGCAGCATAAGTGTGCACCAAGTGACATCCGCTTGTGATTTACCGTATTCGAAACAATCGCACCCGGATTGGCTCACATGCACACACTTCCCATCTTGACGAAATCGTCCTTTGGACCTTCAGATTATATAGTGTCTGATGAAGATCATTGTTATGTACATTCTATTATTAGTATTTACGAACAGAATATCCCTATTCCCCATAGATTTATCGTCTACAAGTACGCTGATGATATAGTTAGTGATTGGTTACCCACCACCTAGTCCGGATAGTTTTTACCCTCTTCAGTACAGCCGTAATGAACATCACGCGGGTCTTTTCTAGTAAACAATAATAAGTACATTGATGTTACCTCTAGTGTTAAAACCGGCCTCGTTTTCTTGTGTTAGTAGGTAATCTCCCTGATCACATAGTCAACAATCAAACCATTC